CCGGAACCCAAAGATCCAAGGATCCAGTATCGTAAGTTACATTAAAATTTTGATTACCAATTGAAATAGGGCCAAAATAAGCGGCATCTTTACTTTCATCGGTTAACATTATAGTCGAAGATGGAGATTGACGCTTGCTTAGTTTAGAATATTTTTTATCTATGTAAGCTTTTTTTAATACCATAAAATTTTCTATATCTGAGCCATGGGCAAAATTTCTTTTTTTAAGATCAATAACCATAAAATCTGGATCATTATTTTGTTCTGCATCTGTATATGCATCAAGCAATACCAATAATGCTATCGTAAACAGTATAAGAATTCGAAAAGCTCTCATTAATGAAAAATTTGTCGTTATTTGCAAAATTTATAAAAGAAAAAAGTTAATGTAAGAATTTATATTGCATAAAGGCATCAAGATTTGAAACTGAGATTTCAGTTTGAAGTGTGACCCAGCTATTTATTTTCAGAAACTAGTGAAGGGCATTAAATGTTTCGGCAAAGTGATACAAAGTTATATTTTCGATGTATCAACAGTTACGTTTTTGATTCACTCTTGGCTGATTTATATTATCATACCAAAACCTAAGTTTTAAAAAGAATTTGCCTCACGCGTGTCCATATTTGTGCTTTGTATGAATACTCACGCGTTTGTATTCTTATTACGTATAATATAAATATTCTCATTTTATTTTCTTGGCGGTAACTATTTTAATATGTATTTGAAAATACAGTTCAATGTACGCAGCTAACATTAAATGCGCATGAGTACAATGTTTTGGATCTGAATTTGATAACTTTACTGTCATAATTCGTAATTCGGATCAAAGGTTAATAAATAACAAGAATGTTTGAAAAGGTAATATAATAATGAAATGACGATAGGATTAGTTCACTACATGACATCATACGAAGCGAATTAATTTAGCAACCATAGGGTTTAGAATTTCATCATCTGAGGTAATTGAGTCCTAGGGAACTTTCTAAACAGATCAAATTGGGAATAAAACAAATGATTTGGGTAATGAGTGCATAAATAATAATTTATTATGTCAACCAAATAATTTACGCAAATTATTCTGTAATGATATAAACAGGATTTTGGTTGCGGTAATATTCACCGAGAAAATTTTGCTTCAATGAAATTTTTTGGTTTACCAATCTCGGGGAAACAATCATATCAAGGAATAGATTTCCGGAGTTTGTACAGTTCGATAGCAATAATAGTAATTATTACTAAGAAATACTGTAGAATGTTTTTTAAGGTTAACGGCTAAATGATTTTCGAATTATAGATTTCTTATTCCATTGGCGTTCACTTCTAAATTTGTAAGGTCAAAGAATCCAAGAGAAAGAAAAGATTCAAAGGACATAAGCTTTATGACACTTGGTGGTATTAACCAAAATGCTGTCGTAGGTTCAATTGAATATAATACTGCAAACGTTACTCTTGGGTATTGGTTGATCCCATTAAAAGGTGTTAAGGTTGATGGAAATTCACTTGGTTTCAGCTCGTCAGCATTTCCAGCTGTTATTGATACTGGTTAGTACTATTTATTCTTCTTAATTTAATTATTATTATTAGAAATTAAAATTTAGTTTATTTTAGGTACTTCGTTAATATACGGTGTTCCTGCTGTAGTTGACTTAATTCATTCCAACATTCCCGGCGCTACGTTTTCTCAACAACAGTTTTGGGTTATTCCATGCAATAC